AAAAAAAAGTCCTTGGCACTCTCTGCTCGTTTCTCAACAAAGCTCGGCTTCACATCCTGCATGGGAGCTGCCCAGGAAAACCACAGGCCATTGAGTAACTCCTCTGTGTCGGAGAACTAGCTCAGGGGCATCCACTGATCCCAGCCCCGCCACTTCGCTCTTATCTAACCAGTTTTTCCAGAAGAAGCTGACACAAGTCTGTGCTTTGTCTGCTACTGACTGTAAACTGAAGACGTTTGGCTGCTGATAAGAAAAGTAAGTATTGGTAAAGATCACCGAGGTTATCCCTCAATCTACCAGTTTGTTTTCATTCCTGTTAACGATGAGGCAAAGTGACTTTTATATCCCACCCAGTTTCTTCCAGCACCTTGAACAGAAACCCAATAAACATGCAGAAATGCAAAGCAAATCTGATCAGATTTTAGGAGCAACGCTGCTGCTAAAGCAAAGCTCCTCAATTCATCTTGATAATATTTGGTATTACTTAAAAAATGCCTCTAATTTTTACACATACATAAAGTAATTTTAAGAATAGCCTGGGTAAATAGTTATGAATGATCAAAATGTTTGATTTGGGCCTTTTTGTTCATATAATTAGTAATATAAAATGTTTTGCATGTCCAAAGTGGTAACTTCTCTTCGTATTCCAGGTTATAAGACAGAAAACAGAGGAGTAATTTATTTTACAAACACCACCACTTCTTTTAGTTACTTAACTTGAATTTAACTTTGATTAATCAATTGAAAAGATTTTTTGCTCTGGGTGGAACCTTTGTATGCAATAGTTTCTGGTACAACCATAAATCTGATGCACAAGCGACATTTGGAAACCACAGCTAGTTAATGGTGTTCGTCCTCAATAACAGAGTTGGACAGTAATTAATTTCATTTACTTGAGTAACTTTTTGGGGGAAAAAATTACTTTTAGGAGTATTTTTACTTAAATAATTTTATTACTCGAGTAAAATTTCTGGAAACTTTAGCTACTGTGAGTAACTTCACTGAATGAAGCACAAATTTATTTTATCCAAAAAAATATATATATAAAAATCACCAAACACAGACGGACAGACATGCAGTTTTTTACATTTTATATTGAAATTGATTTGGAAAAATTTTATTTTATTTGCATGAATTACTTTCATTTGACCTGCTCTTACCCGACACCATTTAATCTGAAAGTTTTAGACATGATTTTAGGTCTAATGATCTACCTGCAGTGAGGTTTGTGTCACTGCTCTGCAGCAGTTTGTGAATGAATTAAACTTGTTTTGTTTTATGGGGATAAAGAAGAACATGCTGAACGTTTTTATCGCAGCTTAAAACGGTGAACATTAGCAGATGACGAAAAGACCAAAAAAGTAAACTCTGCTCAAATGAGCCCCAAAAACAAACGAGTTGCTCTTTTACAAGAGAGTTTTGGAATCAGCGTTGAATAAACAGTTAAATCTGTGTGTGTGTGTGTGTGGGAACAATGTGGTCATTTATGGAGTGATCACCACAGTCCTCACCAACAGCCTTCAACACATTAACCATGTGACCGTTAACATGTAACTGAGCGGTGAATCATTGCGTCCTAAGTTCATGTTCTCGCCCTTTGACCTCATGATTTTAACCTGAAACTGTCAGGAGTTGGGGTTTTTGTTTTGCCTTTTTTTTCTGTTCCTATGGCTTGCCATCACCACCAGATGGCATCGTGGAGGCTAGGATAGGAGGACTGAAGGGCTGACGTCACCGTCACACCGGTTCCCAATCCACTCGTCAGCGGGACTTTAAGAGGCGGTGACTGCCAGCATACCAACGCTTGAGTGTTAGCCAGTAATGGTAACCCAGAGCCCTCTCCAGCGATCTAGTCGAGCTTCTTGTTGATTCTGATCTAACGCCCTCTGTTGTTTGGATTTTTTCAGCTGTTCCTGCAACTTCAAGTCTGGCTGTAGTCCCGAGTTTCCCCTTGCGACGCCGTGGGCACGTTACCCGTTGGTGCCCAAGGCGGCCACCACTCACCTTTTCCTCCGTGAAACAAGAAGTGGTGTCTGGGAATCCAAGCAGGCAGTCCGCTCGCTCTCCGTGACGACGTCAGGATCCTATTACCTGTCCGCCCTCCACCGCAGCACAACCTCCACCTCCAGCGCCCCCACACCTGGCCACGCCGTTGTTTTTTTTCCCCTCTCCGAGTAAGCATACAACTTTTAAGCTCTGGAAAATCCCCCCACGGTCCCTGAACTCACCTCCCGATCTGTTGTTGTTCCCAGAAGTCCTGGCTTACCTGTCTGTCGCCGTCCCTTCGATGTTTGAGAGCCTACCTGTAAATCTTTTAATAAATCACTTTAACTGATCTTTCGCGTCCCGAGTGTGTTCTGCATGTGGGTTCGTAGTGTAAATGCCAAGATGACAGAAACACTGAAAATCTGAATGTGGTCAGGCTGAAAATGAAACGTTGCTAAAGTTTTCACATCCATCGAGCTGCTACACGTTCTGCTTGGTTAAAACCACAGACACTGAAAGTATTTTATCTGCATTTTGGGTGATAAATGAGCAGATAAAACATAATTGTGAGTGCAGTGGCTAGCACTGATGCTTTAAATGCTTCAAATGAATTTTTACCACTCAAATATTTGCACATTTCTTTTTATGTTTGAGCTTTATGTTTGAGCTATGACTTTTTGCAGTTAACTTGTGCTGGCTTGAAATTTCTCCTTGGAGGAAAACAGTTATTTGAAATGATACGAGTCTACTACGACTGAATCGATTAATCACGATTAATCGATTCTTGAAATAAACATCAACTAATTTAGTAATCGATTAATCGTTACAATGCAAAAATACACTTTGGTCTAGTTTCTAGTGCAAATATCTTATTTTTGTCTCATTTGAAGTTTACTAACTTACAAGTAACTTTACAGCAAGATATAGGAGCTTTTTTTAAGTCAATAATTTCTTAATATTGATGAAAAATTATTTGCTCCAATGGCAGATTATTTCACTTATATAAAAAAAATAATCTCAGTGGAACTGGAACCTTTACATGATTATAAGAGGTATTTTAATATCTTAATATACGCTGCAAGAACACAAAATCTTACCAAGTATTTAATCTAGTTTTAGTGCAAATGTTACAAATGTAAGTTAGTTTTGTCTTATTTCAAGTGTATCAAGATATTTGCAATAAAAACTAGACCAAAAATATTTGGTAAGATTTTGTGTTTTTGCAGTGAACATAACATTTAAAATTAGAATCAGACCAATAAAAATAAAAACTATTTTGAGTAGTGCAGGAATGTGAACTTTATGAAAAGTATGTTTAAAAGTACTTTTAATCGGACAAAACAAGACTCACTTTCTAACTGTAGTCCTGACCTTTGACCTGATTCCAGTGACCTTTGCCCCACTGAGCCTGTGATGTCACCTCGGTTCAGAAAAGGCTGAGCTGGGAATAAAAAGGCAGCACCAGGATCCCAAGTCCAGCAGAATAATTACATGAATGAGGGAGGGAATCAGGAAATAGCTTTTTGGTTTGGGAAACTGAGGAGTTGGATGGAGCGCTGCCATGTGCTAAATGAAAACAGGATTCAGAGAAGAAAAAAAAAACAAGAAAACGGGGGCGAGGGTGAAACACAGAGTGTGAGAGAACATAGATGAGGCCAAAACGTGTTTTTTACCAGGAGGAGGCTGCAGGTTAGCCAGGGTCAACTGGGGGGGCGTCCCGCTCCCCACCCAGCTTCCTCCTCCTCCTCCTCCTCTTCTTCCTCGCAGGTTTCATTCGGATCTTCCCAATCACGGTTTTTATTGCAGGAAATTTCTGCCACACCACATCGCGTGAGCTGGAGGAGCGCTCCATTCTTAGCCCGGGCGCCGCTGAGTGCCAGGGGTACGTGGAGCCTGGCAGCGCGACGGTTACGCAGCGAGAGGGGGGGGGGTGCACTGCAGAAACAAAATCTGACGAAGGACTGCTGGTCCAGATTCCACTGCTGATGTCCTACAGAACCTGAACCTAACTTACAACTAGCACTGAAACGATTAATTGTGATTAATCGTTTATTACAATAATCGTAGACTAATTTAGTTTAAAAAAAAAGTGTCTGTGTTGGCTAGCCCTCAGATTTCTATACAGACTGAAGAATCTGTGATGTCATGTTACAAAAACAGTAAAAGAGCAGAAAAGAGTTTCTGAATCTGAGTCTAGAGAAACATGAAAGACTACAGCTGAAACGACTAATCGTGATTAATCGATTAGGCAAATAATTGTAGACTAATTTAGTAGCCAACTAATCATTAACTGAAGTATACAGACTCAAAAAAGGCAATTTGGTGAAAAAAGCAACATATTCAGAGCCATAATTAAGCTAAAACTGTACTATCTATCTAGAGAGAGAGAGAGAGAGAGAGAGAGAGAGAGAGCTTAAATATGTAAATGTTTAGCTAAAATTGATCAAGTTGTAGTTTTAGCCTCACCTGGATCAGAATTTTTAAAGGAATGCTTTTTTATGCAATAAAATTTTTATTTTCTTATTTAAAGTGGCTATTTCCATTTAACCACTAACCTAATAGTGGTAAAATGAAAAATCAGAATGTGCCTTTTTTATCCAATTAATCAATGAATCATCAGAATAATTGATAAAATAATTGATTGCTAAGTTGCAGCTCTACTTGCATGTAGCTTTTTAGGAAGATATAGGACCTTGTTTTAAGTAAATAATTCCTTAATATTGATAATAAAGTACTAGTTCCTCTAGCAGATCAGTTCATTTTTCCCATGTTATAAGTGAAATAATCTGCCAATGGAACTAGAGCTTTTTCATGAATGTTAAGGATTTTTTTTGTCTAGCATCTTGTGCAAATATCTTAGTACACTTGAATTAAGATAAGATTAAATTACAAGCAACTTTACAGCAAAATATGGGCGCTTGTTTTAAGCTAATTATCATGTTACTCTTGCGTTTGGAAAAATGTTTTCTTCTTTATTCAAGAATTATTGACTTAAAACAAGCTTGTAGATTTTACTGAAAAGTTACTTGTAATTATTTTAGTCTTAATTCAAGTGTGCTAAGATATTTGCACTAGAAACCAGACCAAAACTCTTGGTCAGACTTTGTGTTTTTGCAGTGCGGAACTGCCAGGCAGCTCTGATCCAAGTGGCCACGCGTTTTTCCCTGGTAACGGAGTGAATTCAGAGGAAGATGGTAAAACAGAACCACCAGCACTGCCCTCTCACCAACACCCAATCTTTACGTCCCCTCCTCCTCGATCCAAGCTGGGCTTTCATCTGAAAAAGAGGCGGGTGCTTTTGGGGCTTGTGGTTTTTATTGAAATAATATTTTCTGTACTCTGCTGCTTCTCTGGCTCTGTTCTCCCTTAACAACGGGCATTATTTTTAGCCTGTGTGTCAAGTTCGGTCATTTCCTGCTGCAAAAAAGACTCGACCACAAGCAGACTCAAACACTGAGAGGCTTTCTGCTCTGCCTACCAAACTCACAATGTTCCCGTACGAGCCGCCCCCTGTCTCTACGCAAAAATGTAAATACTCACTTTTTTCAGAACCTACACAATCTAGATTAGGGAATCTATGTGGTTGAATAACATACCACAGTGTTTAAAAGGAACACTGGACTTGATACTACACAGATTCCTCAACACACCCAGGAACAGAGATGGGTAGTGACTAGTTACATTTACCCAGCTACAATTACTTTAGTAACCTTTTTGGAAAAAATACTTTTTGGAGGATTTGTACTGTTTAATTTTGCTTGAATAACTTTATTATAAAGTATTTCAGCTTTTACTCTTAAATTTCTGGATTTTCTACCTACTGAATTAAAAATAGACATGTTTTAACTAAAAATTTACCAACTATTTTTTTCCTTGTTTCTACTGCAAATATCTGAGTATACTTGAAATAAGACAAACTAACTTACAATTAGTAAGTAACTTTCCAGAAAGATATAGGAGCTTATTTTAAGTCAAAAATTCCTTAATATTGCTGAAAAAGTTCTGGTTCCACTGGCAGATTGTTTAATTTATATCAAAATCGTTACCTAGCAACGCCACCCAAGACCAGCCGGTCGCCTAGCAACCCAGTTCTAGTTCTACTGGCAGATTATTCCACTTATAACATGGTAAAAAAAGATTTAAGAGGAATAATCTGCCAATGGAGCTAGTACATTTCAGCAATATTAAAAAAATAATTTCCTTAAAACTAATCCTACAGTTTGACTGTAGGATTCATTCATTTATGTGGGAAATGTCTTCTTAGAAGTGAAAAAATTTCTAAATAAATAATTAAGGATTATTGATTTAAAAGTAGCTCTCGCATATTGCTGAAAAGTTACTTTTAAGTTAGTTTTGTCTTATTTCAAGTGAACTAAGTTATTCACACAAAAAAAATAGACTGAAAATATTTGGTAAGATTTTCTGTTTGGTTATTTTCGTTCCAGTTCACAGTTACTAACTATTTGCATTGATATGTTGTGTAAAACTCAGTAAAACACATTGAGTTCTGTGGAAAGAGAAGATACTTTTCCCACAATGTTCAGCACTCCAGTCCTGCTCGGGTTGCCTGGCTGAATCATGCAGGGATCATGAGAGTCAGAGTTAGGAAACCAAGGTGTGGAGAGAGATGTAGAAAGACGATAATTATACCTTTGCTCCGCTCCCTCCCTCCTCCAGGTCGTCCCTGTGTAACAGTGGATAATCTTCCAGCTATCATGTCTAGGAGCGCCCTGGAGGACCGCAGCAGGCCGGCGGAGCCAGCAAAATGCTGTCGAGGGGGAAAGCAGACACCGCCGAGGGGAGTCTGGAGGAGGACAGCTCTCAGAAATCCGCCTCGCCAGACAGTCAAATCTCACAGACCGCAGTCGGGGCAAGCTTTCACATGCCACCGTGATCTCAATCACGTCAGAATAATCATTGCATTAATGTGTTGTGTAAAACTCAATAAAACGCATTGAGTTCTGTAGAAAGAGAAGATACTTTTCCCACAATGTTCAGCACTCCAGTCCTGCTCGGGTTGCCTGGTTGAGTCACGCTTAAATTAAAGTGGAACACACAAAGCGACGGTGCATTTTGCTGATTTATTTTTATCGCCTTTGCATGTGCAGCACCAGAGGACAACCTGTCCAGCTCCGGCCCTTCTGCGTTGGCTTCGTATCTTTAGCTGGGCAAGATGAGATTCCCAGCGTCCGGGGTAATATCGCCTTCAAGATGCGTTGAGTTTCATCAGAAAAGAACACAGAGTACCATGCAGGGCGGAGCTGCTGAGTCATAATGGTTCCCACTTCATCCGGCACGCCAGCCCAAAACTCTGCAGGACAGGTGGGAAGATTTCAGGTTGTAAAACACCTGAGCAGCAGGTGTGGCGAGCAGCTCAAGGCACATCAAGCAACCAAAACGACGAAAAACGTCCAAATAATACTTGTAATGGTTGAAAAGGATGAGAAAACAGGACAGAGAGTAAAAATCCAGATTTTCTTTGAAAGCATTATTTTTTTGTCATTTTTGCTTTGTCTGTTTTGTATAACATCTATCTATCCATTGTAGAAAGTACATTTCCACCAAAAAAGCTAATACAGTTTGAGATTACAAATAAACAAAAAAGAAAATAAACATGTCATTGACCAAAATATAATATCACAGTTCTGTTTAAAACCTGTTTACCGACAAAAGTGTTTTAATGCAAAGTTTCAATATTTTTAAGGGCTGCAACAAACAATTATTTTAGTTATCGATTATTCTGACGATTCATTGATTAATCATATAAAAAATGGCACATTCTACAGATTTATCATTAAACTATTTAAGCATTTTTATACAATGTGAGAAATACATTACAATATGCAAATAGCAAATAATTAAATTACTTTTTAAAATAAGAAAATAAACATTTTATTGCCTAAACTATATTGCAGTATTCCTTTAGTAAATCTGAACTGGTTGTAGCTAATAAAACTTGATAAGCTTTGGCTAAAACATGTTTTAATCTTAAATGAAAAACCTTTTTAAGTGTTGCAACTAACAATTATTTCAGTTATTGTATTGAATATTCATGATTAATCATATTTAGAAAGTGATATGTTCTACAGTTTTTTTCACATAACCACTGAAGCTTTTTAATACAATATAAGAACTACATTAAATATGCAAAAAAAATAATAATTGAATTCATTTTTTAAAATGAGAAAATAAGCATTTTATTGCTCAAAATGCAATGACAGTAGATTTTAGTAAATTTGAACCAGATGAAGTTAAAAGTATGCAACTAGTTCTGACTAAAACCTATTTGTAGACAAAGGTTTTATTAACCTTAAATGCAAGATGAATATAAATATTGTACAATATTTTGTGAATTACTTTTCTCAGTATGTTGTTTTTTTCAGCAAATGGCCTTTTTCTGAGTCTATATTAAAGTTAATAATTAATCGATTACTAAATTAGTTGACGGTTATTTCAGTAATCAATTAATCACGATTAATTTAATTAATCGTGATTAATCCCTAGTCTTTTATATTTGTCTGGGCTCAGATTCAGTGACGTTTTTCTGCTCTTTTACTGTTTTTGTAATATTACAGCATGGGCTCTTCAGTCTGTATAAAAATCTGATGGCCAACTAACATCACAGACACATTTTTTTTTTCATTAACCCTTTAAGCCTTTTTTTATATATATAAAACAATGAAAGATGCAAATAAACAAATAATTCAAATTCTTTTTAAGTAAAACATATTTTTAAAAAAATGTATTGCCTTAAAGGCAATAGCATTTCTTTAGTGAATTTTAACCAAGTAGAGTTAAAACTCCCACTCAAGGAGTTTTTGGCTTACAGACAAAGATGTTTTTAATCTTAAATGCAATTTTTTTTTTTTTTTTTTTAACCAGTTTTGGCCTGGCTACTGCTCTGGATATGTTGCACTTTTGTTGCATGGCCCTTTTTTGATTCTTTATTGACCCTTTACAACTACATCACTTAATCATTAGAGGCGCCATGACGGAGATAGGAAGTGAGGGATGACAGTATTTAACAGGACAACCGAAAATGTTTTCCAAAGTTACTTTTGCCAGTTTATTCGTGGCTTCTACTTGTTTGAGTCCAACTGATTTATCTGTGAACGTAACACACCTGGTTGGGCTCACAGATGGCGGGATTTACAGAAGTTGGAAGCAGCTAGCTTAGAAACCGACCCGTACCTCCTCCTTCCTGACGTGTTGATCAAATTATCGACTTTGACTGAATTCAGACCACATGATTTATAGCACTATGTCATAAACGGCGTTTCCCCTTTACACCGGAGCAGCATTAAAATCATACAAAAGACGAGATGCTAACCTTTTTTTTCATGCATGCTAGGCTACGGTGAGGCACTGTCTCCATGGTTACCAATCACTGCACACGCCTTCTCCACAATGCGATGTTTAATATCTTTCTATAATCATACTTACAAACATATGAACGTTAATCTTCTTACCTTGTAAAACGTGTTCGCTGCAAATCCGCCATTACACCGAGGGCTGACAGTCATTATGATTGACGGCTGATATCCATCACTGCCGCATCTTTCCTCATTAAAAGTTATAAAATAAAAAAAGTTTGGTTTGCATCCTTGTCAGTTTGTGCAGCCGACCACAAAGCACCCTGCACCATTTCTAAAGTGAAATCAACTAAATAAAAGCCATATTAGGTTACAGATGTGTGGTATCTGTAACGCATTGGTTGTTTTGACATCCGTCATGGCGGAGTTCTGGAGACTGTGACGTCACGTTCAAAGGGTCAACCTTTCACGTCGTCAACTAAATTAGCTGACAATTATTTCAATAATCGATTAATCGTGATTTATCAGCTTAATCGTGATTAATCGTTTCAGCTCTAGTCTTTGACATTCCTCTGGAGCAGTGTTTCTCAACCCTGGTCCTCACCCCCCCCTCCTGCTCTGTATGTTTTAGATATGCCTCTATTCCAGAACAGCTGATTCAAATGATTACATGACCATCAAGTACTGCAGAAGCTTGTTAATCACCCAGCGATACAATTCAGGTGTGTGGCAGAAGGGAAATACCGAAAACATGCAGGACAGGGGGGCGCTGAGGACCAGGGTTGAGAAACACTGCTCTCTACCACAGGTGACAAACTCCAGTCCTGGAGGGCCTCTGCCCTCCAACCTTTAGATGTGCCTGTGCAGCACCACACCTGAATAGAATAATTAGGTCATTAACAAGACTCTGGAGAATTTATCTGCACAAGAAGGAGGTAATTAAGCCATTTCATTCTAGTGTTTTGTACCTGTGGCACATCTAAAAACTGCAGGACAGCGGCCCTTGAGGACTGGAGTTTGACATCCCTGCTCTAGACTCAGATTCAGTTCCTTTTTTCTGTTTTTGTAACATGACATCTTGGGCTCTTCGCATAAAGATCTGACAAAAATCCAACAAACAACACAGACACATTTCCCCCCCAAGAAAATAATTTTGATCTAACGCTGATGCAAAAGCCTCTCCACCCCACATGCTGGATGTTTCTCTCACAGCTGGGCCAGCTTACTGGCTGGATGGGGCGCGGAGGGTGAGCTGGTGGGGGGAGTTGGGTTACATTCCTTCCATTGGGGCTGTCTGTCTGCCAACCAGGTCACTCCCAGTTCAGTCCCGGGAAAATGGGAGGAAGAATTTCCTCTGTGTCCATACTGGGCCCAGCCGGAGCCACTCAGAGGCAGAGGCCTGTGTGCACCGGGGCACTTGTGCATGCACAACCCCTGAAACTGAGCACCCAGGATAATATGACTTGCATGTTTTTTCCTTACACTGTAACAGGCGTTGGGTTCTGCTCAGTGTTTATGTGTGCACACATGCTCACTGAGTCACATTTTTCATATTTTACCGGTTTCTGCATCGCAGGTTATGGTAATATGACAGGAAGTAGATCAGTGTGACACATCTGATGCTGAATTGTCTTAAAGTCTGAACGTGTGTCACTGCATGTTTACTCCTCTTTCCTAACAGATGTCAATGAATAACCCATCCTGCTGGACAGAGGTGCTTTTTTGCATAGGCACCTATTTTGGAAGGATTTTTACTCGTATTATTTACGTTCAGATAGTTGTTAAGATGTAATAACCGTGACAAGATGAGAGAGAAGGAGGAAGTTCAAACCATCTCTTCCAAGATAGATATCCTTTACTCCAACATCTTCCTTCTTAGCTTTCTAACCATAATTCCAGAGAGAGATTAAAAGAGGCAAACCCCTGATGGCGTCATCTAGGACATAAGACTGTAAAATATCATCTCTCCTGCCTGAAAATTGAGCTCTTAGCATGTCATGACATCAACTGTCTTTGGACAGAGGCCTTTATAGATTAGTTGCTAGACTGACTGCTGCTGGAGATTCTTCCTTCCCAGAGCATCACCGTCTGCAACGACTCTTTGAAGGTACTTGGATTATATGAGTTAGGATAACATTTAATTTCTTTTGGGATTAGTAAGGTTTTTTTAAGGTGACCTTTGTTGGGATAGGTCTATGGCCTATACAAAACACGTTCACTACATTTTTTTGCTCAAAATCATTCTTAGATAATGAAATTCTAGTCAGGTCAGCCCGGCCTCCAATGAGCAGTTTTAGGGCCTTTAAATTCAAATAAGCTATTGCTGGCCACGCCCTCTAACTCAACATTTAAACTCATACAAATTATACAACTGTACATCTTTGAAAAGCAGAAATGGAGCCTTCTGCATAACCAACAAGAATGCAGGAAGTGGTTTCAGGATTGTAAGTCAACAATAAAACACTTGTCTTTTCCAGCAGCCATTGTACAGCACATACAGCGGTAAAACCGGCTGACCAAACCCAGCTTGGGTTGCTAGGTAACGGGTTGGGAATGTTTCAACAAAAAACTTAAATGTAGTTTTACAAATCACTCTTTTAGAAACTGATGCAGCATATGGGACACAAGCAACAAAATCCAAATAAGTGAATATTTCCAAAAATCCCAATAAAGTTTATCAGTTTGAGCAATAATATCTTATCATTGTCGTGAATTCAATTAAATATAAGTGGGAACAGATTTGCAAATTATCATAATCTGTTTTTATTTATGTTTTACACAATGATTCAACTTTATCGGGATTGGGGTTGTATATTCACACGCTACACATTTTGGATTTTAATGTGTAAAGGTGAAAAGCATTGTTGATTTTCTTCCATCCATCCATCCATTTTCTGAACACCCTTGTCCCTCAGTGGGGTCGGGAGGGGTGCTGGTGCCTATCTCCAGCTAACGTTCCGGGCGAGTTGATTTTCTTCCTTTATGTATAATTCAAACCTTCAAAAGTTTGATTTATTTGTGTGTTTTTTGGAGCTTTAATTCTCCCAGAAGTCTAAACAGAACCATAGTCATGCCGTCTTCTTGGGTTTTTTGTTGTCTGAGGGGTTTGGGGGATTGTGGTCGAGTCGTTGTCTGGGACAGGAAACATGTGAGCAGAATATAAGACGCGTAGCGAGCTTGGCAGCAGCGTGCGCACAAATACTCACAGTGCAGGCAGGACGGGGGCTCTTTGACGACACACACACAGGACTTGGCCCTCACAGGCTGTCACAAGGAATCAAATTAGATGTTCGCCCGCAAAGAACCAGAAAACAAGGCAGGGACTTTCTCAAGACGTTTGTTCAGTCTCAAGGGTCATTTGTCGTTTCAACCAGAGAATTAATATGTAACAGGCGTTCCTGCGAGCCCGCTACCTCAATAGGTCATTCAGTCGCTGAGTATTGTCTGTTTCACTTCCCTGGCGAGGATTCTGGTCCGAGGGAGAGCTGCAATCTGCTGTCTGACACGTTTCCTGTCTACGTTTCGAGTCTGATTTCTGCTCCCAGTGAGTCACAGAGACCTCTGCAGTTCTACGAAAACCCAAAGAGGAAGCAAGAGTTTAGATACAACTAGGACTGCCACTAACGACTATTTTAGTGATCGATTAATCGATCATTCTGACTATTAATCGTAATTTAAAAATGGCACAATCAACAGATTTTTTTATTAAACCACATAAGCCTTTATATACAATATTAAAAATAGCCTAAAAGATGCAAATAAACTAACAATTGTTTTAGTAACTGAACAATCGGTCATTATTCAGACGATTGAGCGATTATTGTATTTTAAAACTGGAACATTCAACTGATTTTTAATTTAACCATATAAGGCTTTTTCGAGTCTAAGCCAATTAGGGTTGCAATTTATTTTAGTTATCGATTCATCTATCAATTATGTTGACGATTAAACAATTAATTGGATTTAAAAATGATACATTCAACAAAATTTTCATTTCTGTGAAATATAATAAATAAATTAAAATATGCAAATAAACAAATAATTCCACTCCTTTTTTAAATAAAAATATATACATCTTATTGACTAAAATGCAAAAATTTCACATTCCTCTAGTAAATTTGTATGAGGTGAAGTTGGGTAGTTTTGGTTAAACATACAAAGATGTTTTTATCTTGAATGCAAAATGTATATATTATATATTTTGTACAGTTTTGGCTTAATTGCTGCTCTAAATATCTTGGGGTTTTGTAGCAAGATGCTTTTTTTGAGTAGATAACGATTAATCATTTGCTGCACTGTAAAAACACAAAATCTTACCAACTAATTTTGGTCTAGTTTGTCAAACATTGTATCTAAGTACACTTGAAATAAGGAAAACTAACTTTTGAAAAGTAACTTTTCAGCAAGATGTAGGAGCTTGTTTTAAGTAAATAATTCCTTAAGATTAATGAAAGAATGCTTGTTCCACTGGAAGATTATTTCACATATAATACGACATTTGGAACAAGTTTTTCATCAATATTAAGAAATTATTTTCTGAAACCTTTATATCTTGCTGAAATGTTGCTTGTAAATTAGTTTTGCCTTTTTCAAGTGTACTAACATACTTGCTCTAGGAATTAGACCAAAAATACTTAAGATTTTTTGTTAACTACTTGATGATTATTTCAATAATTGATTAATCGCAATTAAACCGATTAATCGTTTCATCCTTAATCATAATATGGAAACTACTTCCTGTGTTTACTCAGGTTATCTTTTCTATTCAGATTGTTTGATATGAAAACATTCAGGTGACTAGACAGCAGAAGTAAAAACAATTTAAAGGGCCGCACACGTGGAGAAGTTTGTGCTGCCGGTGCATTACATGGTGAAATGCTTCATGCTGAGCACCAGCTGCCGCTCTGCAGCCCTGTCATGACTCTTCACACTCACCGCCTCACATCCTCTTCCAAAATAATGGTTGAACAACATTTCCTAGATGTGCCTTTTCATTTGATTGCCACAAGCTGATCGAACAGCGCCACCTGGTGGTCACACAGTGTGTCTTCTTCTTTCAAATATAAGAATCTGACTTACCTTAAACCAAATGTTTAAAATGGTTGAAGTCCCTAAAAAAGACGAGCATATTCTCATTATAAAGTCATTATGTTGACATTATGAGTTTAAATGCAGTGATTTAATTCATCTGCAGTAGTTTGAGTCACTGTAAAAATAAACTCGTCTTCATCAGGTTATGTAATAAGCCAGTTTTATCCAAAAGTGTAGAAAAACCCAACAGATCCAACACTATTAAACAAAAACATCCGCACTGCAAAAACACAACATCGTATCAGGTTTTTTTAAAATGTAGGTGCTAATGAAAATACCTTAGTACACCTGAAATAAGTAACAAAGCAAAATTACAAATAACTTTTCACCAAGATGGTGATATAACCCATCCTGTATATTTGGTTGTCCTCAAAATTACCACAAGATAGAAAATACAATAAAGCTTGTTTATGCAAACAAGAAGTCTCACTCTGACATAAATTGTGTGTTTCTATTTGGTTAAAGATTCTCTGAGTTTTATTCTGAAGTGTTTTTTTCAGAGTAATGTTGCTCAAGTAGAAAAGCAGAATAAAGTAAAACTACTCCCAGAATAATGTATTTTTTCTAAAAGAGTAACTCTTAAGTAACTGTAACTGGTTCCTTTCATTCCAGTGATGCTGGTTCCCAGTTCCTATTGGCTCCCACAGGCTGAGTGAAGGAAGCGAGATGGGAGGGACGCAGGACTTTAATTTTGACTGAGCGTCTCTGCTGGGATGCAGAGCTGCAGCGATGGCCCAGGTAAAGGCTGCAGGTGCAACACCAAGGAGCCACCAGGACTTTGCAGAACTTTACTCTGACATGGCTACAGTGAGCTCCAGCGCAGGTTAGTCGAAAAAGCAAATAAATGTGCTACTAACAACAACTGGTTTGACCCTAAATGTGAAAGTTCTGGTTCACTGTGACCATTTTATGGAATTAACTAATTAGTTTGTAAGCGTTCAGCTAAATTAGAATGTAAACTGTTGGTTCCAACTGATTTATTTGTAGAAATCATCAATGTTTTCAACTATTTTAGGTCGTAATTCTATCAGTTTTTGGTAAGGACATTGAATTTCAGTTACTTTAAGAGAAATACTGACACTTTTTTCCAGAAATACACTCTCATTTTGTTGTTACCAGCAGTTTTCTACTGCACCCCAATTAAAATCTAAACATTAAGTCTAAATTGTATGATATTCTAACCTTTTATGCTTGAAAGAATATTTTATTTCCAATAAGCCGTCTACTGTTTTTGGGTGGAGGAAGCTTATTTTGGAATACAAGACTGATAGATGCATATGGAAACTCTTGTCCACTATAAAATGATGAGAATATGTAACTTTCTTCTTCTTTTGTGTTGGGTTTTGTTCTTAAAAATGAAAATTAGTGAATATATTTTGAAAAATCAACCTAAATGTTAGACTAAGCAACAGAAGCAGTGATGTGAACAGACGCCTCACTCCCCCATTTCCACAGATTAGCGCCTTCATCAGTGATTGTGGACATAATCTTGGTCAAATCCTCCAGTTTCTGGTATCTTTTTCTCACGAGCCTGTCTTTAGGCAGCCAAATCTCCGCGGCTCTCAGGTTGCTGAGTCACTCTAATCCCTCCTTTTTGGTGATTTGCACTCATACAACTGAAGGTTGTTGTGTTTTTTTTTTTTTTTTATTGTTCCTTATTCGCCAAGGAAGTCAAGAAATTGGAGCTGGAGAATTGTCTCCAGTAAAAATGAAGGTCTTTTCCAGGCAAAGCCTCAGTCACCTTTGCATATGAAAGCAGATATAGGTGAGCCCGGGCGGAAAGCAGCGACGTCAGAGACCTCCATGGCCGCTGGCCTCTGCAGGGGGGGCAAAGCCTACCCGTCTCCCGCCAGGCGGCGCCACCGCACCACCTTCAGCCACAAACAGCTGGAACAGCTGGAGCTAGCTTTTCAGCAGAACCAGTACCCAGACATCTACTGCAGGGAGGAGCTGGCACGCATCACCAAACTCAACGAGGCTCGTATACAGGTGGGACAAAGAAAGAGCCTGAATTTATTCAACAAATTCATCTCCGAGTTCAGGTGCAGCAACGTTTGGTCCACAGGTCCGCAATCAATTTTATCAATTGGAAAATGTTTACCAATGCACACTTTGGGTTTCCATAGTTCAAAGTGTCAGCCATCTTGTTTAACAGGCATGTGTTACAGCTTGTATAGGTGAGCTTAATACTCTACCGCAACATATTAGGGCCAAAAAAATCTTTCTTTTTTTTTGATAATTACAAGAATAAATTCATTATATTATAAAAATAATATGGCAATAGAGTCAAAATAATACGAGAATAAAAGCATAATATTACCAGAACACAGTGGTAGCAATACAAGAATAAAATGATAATATCAGAAGAATGAAGTAGTAATTGTATGAGAATTCCAACACAAAAAATTAAAAAGAGAAATTTTCAGCATCTTGTGAAGTCATACTTTAGTATAAGTTTTACAGATAAGGAAATACTAAATCTTAGGGTACAAAATTCACATTTTGTAAGTTTTTATACTTCCATTAGGGTTTCTACTGCTTCTAAAAATAGCAGTAGAAACAATCGGAGCGGCTACAAATGCAGAGTTTTGGGGAAATTATAGTACATGATTTTTAAAAATTATTATTAACTGTTAAATGCTGTGATCGGTCTGAAAACAACAAACAAACCATCATCCTCTTACTACTTCCTGTTGTCTTCTTCGTCGTTTTTTGCCAGCAGTAACATCCGGCTGTTGATCACGTGACTCATGTGACATGACGTGTTATTTCAAAATTGGCGTGTTTCCATTAAGCTAATTTATTTTCGTAATTTAAATTTGCACAGATAGATGGTTAATTAAAACGCAGCTACTGTTGTCTTGTCTCGGCAGGTGTGGTTCCAGAACAGAAGAGCCAAACAGCGCAAACATGAGCGGGCTTCCCAGGTCTTCCCGGTGGGTGTGATGACGGGCCACAGGACGCTGATGGCCGGCATGCCTCGACAGTACTACCCCCAGCCGTTAGCCCACATCCCCCACCTGTCCTCCATGCTGCCGCCCGGGCCGTACTCCCGCCACCAAACCCCAGTCAGCCGCTGTCCGTGTCCCAGCAGCCCGCCACAGCCAGCGCCGCAGCGGCAGCACGACGACTGGTACGGCTCGCTGAGAACCAACCTCCCGTCACCCATGTTCCCGCTGGCCTCCATGCAGCCGCTGGAGACGGCCAACCCCTGGAGCTAGGAAGGGACGGGGATACCTACGGAGCTACATTGGGGCCATAAAGATTATTTAAAAAGAAAAAAAATGAAAATGAAAAATTATTTTGAAACTGAAAATAAAAAGTTCTGAAACTTTGAAGCTGAAAAGAATTTCAAAATTGGGGCGTGGAAGGGGGAGAATCACTTTTAATTATTAATTTATTTGTTTTTTACTTTAATTTTTCCCCCAGTTTCAATCATTTTTTTCATTTTCAAAATAATTAAGTTCAAAAGCAAAAGAATTTAAAGTGAAAAATTATTTTGGTACTGAAAAATGAGTCAAAACTTAAAATATATATATTTCAACTGAAAAAAGTTTGAAACTGAGAAAATGTTCAAAACTATTTTTCAGATTCAAAGTTCTTTTCAGTTTCAAATCTTTTTATTCACTCAAAAAAGATTTTCCATTTCAGATAATTTTTGTTTTAGTTTCAAAAATAATTTCAGTTTGGAAAAAAATGAAAGGAAAAAATAATTGGAAACTGAAAAATATTTTTGAAACTGAAAAAAGTTTTAAAACTGAGAACAAAGATGTGAAACTGAAACAAATGTTAATTATTTTTCAGATATTTTTTTCTTGCTTTAAAAAAAAATTCAGACTCAAATGATTTTTTGTTTCAAAAGAATTTTTCAGTTGTAAAGAAAAATATAAAATTTAACAAAAGAATGTGAAACTGAAAAAAAAATCAAAACTATTTCAAGTTTCTAGTTTTAAAATAATTTTTCAATTTCAAATGTTTTTTTTCTTTTGGATAAAATTTATGGCTCCAATTTTTCTCCATTGTAGCCCACCTGTTGTACATGTCGATTTTTCCTAAATAAAGCCAGAATAAAAACTAAATACATCTTTATTTGAAAGCAAGATTTTCTGATTCATAAGTTCTAAATACCTGAGGAAGCTACTGTCCTCTAGTGATCATTTTGAGATCTGCATGATCTAAAATGCGGATGTTTTTCATTATTTTATGTTTTGTTATTGAGTTGTCTGTGGAGTTTCAGCATTCACCATTTGACAGTAAATCTGACATTCCTCTGTGCAGAAGAAAAATTTTTGCAGGCAAAGAAACAGATTTTTTACTTTAAAAGCTGCACAATCATTGATATCCTGCTAATAAGTACATGAATAATTTCATTTCAACAGTTTTTGCTTATTGTGCAGCAGATTTAAGGTGAGAAGGTTGATTTTGTTACATTTATGCCAATATAAATGTAACAAATCTTTGTTTTCACTGATCCCTGTAAGCCAATTACACATTAGAGCTAGAATTTAAAATCAAATTATAAAACTCATTAGTTACCCCCTTGAACATTTTCTATTATCAATAAAAGTTTTTCTTTGGTAGATACAATTGCAATTAAATAGCAACAAGCACAGCTCAACTTATGTGCAATTTGGAGGTGTGTGCATGCTTGTTTTCCGTAGGAACTTCAAAGGAGCCCCAAAAATTCAAATAAAAATCACACACACAAAAAACCAAGCAGAGCAGAGAATAAATTTGATTTCATGAGTTTAATCTACCAGAACCAAACATAATTTACCTTAAAGTAACAGAGAGAACGTTTTCTTTTCACATTCCAGAGTTACATTTCCTGACCTTTACGTCATTTCTCTCCACAATCAGAGCCGATTGAAGAATCAACACTGGTTGGCAAAAACAAAAAAAACAAAAAAATAGAGTTCATCCATATGAAGCAAACGCAGATGGACTGAACAAACCCGATTTGATGCGTGTGAACTGAGCGTTTTAAAAAAGGCAGCTAGCATCTGAAGGAATCGTGTTGCATTCAAGTGCTTTCCTGAAACTCCAGCCTGCAGAAGAGTCTGCCAGTGTGCTTCCAGTCTAGCTTATTCAGTGTCGCAGAATCTGATGCAGCTCTGCTTTACATTCCTATTGCGACTGATGAAGAGCCGTGCGTCCTCCGGCTGACCAGAAGGGGGCGCTACTAGCTCGTCATTTAAACAAGGTTTACCCTTCTTTCTCTGACGACCTAATCTAATCTGTTGCCGTGGGAATGACATATTTACCCAATTATCTTCACAAGGAATCATTTGGTCCTAAATGTAGAGATTCAAACAGCTGGTGTGTTGAATTTAAGTTAAAATAGGGCATATGAGTTTGAAATGAACTGGTCCGTTGGGTCAGTTCAACCAAACTACTTCATCGGTTTGTTTACTGCAGTTCAGTGGCTGGCTAGCGTACTTTGGTAGAAAACACGTAGCGTATAGGCCGCTAAAGTCTGAATAAAAAAATAATTTGGCTAAACTGACCCTTTAAAAATGGCACAATCTACAAAAACAGGGTACAAAGGCTACTGTTTTGTAATTCAGTGGAATTACATTCCATCTGGTATGAAAGAACTGTCACAAGCTTTGTAAATTACAAAGTTGATTTCTGTGAAAGACGGAGCAGCTTGCCGCCTCTCCCCTCATTCAGGATTCTCCTCCAGGATTGGAAACAAAGAAAACAGCAAGGCGATCTACTCCAGCGATTTGGCAAACTCTGCGTAGTCGATGTACCCGTCATTGTTTTTGTCGTCGTCCTTCAGGACCTCGTCGATTAGCGCGATGAGCTCCTCCTCCTTCATTGGCTGGCTGTTCTCCCCTCTCTCCTGCGATTCAGAACAGGAAACGTTTATTTAATTTTTTAATATCAGGACAGAAAAGTTAAGTACTCGATACAGATTTATAAAATTGTTTTAATCTTGCATCATTTTGGAGAAATTTCAGGCGACTTTCCTTTAAAGAACTGATCAGTCAGACAGAAGGGCTCAGAGCTGACGTTATGACTCTGGGGTCAAACTCCTAACTGATAAATCTGATGATTATTAATCACATTTTTTAAAATTGGCACATTCTAGACATTTGTTATTGAGCCATTTGAGCCTTTTTAATGCAATATTAGGAATTCAAGATGACAACAAATAATTTAATTCCTATTTTAAGTAGGAAAATAAACATTTTCTTGCCTGAAAGTACAATATCACAGCATTCCTTTAATAAATATGAACCAGAGGAAGTTAAAACGATGCCACTTGAAAAGTTTTGGTAGAAAACTTCTTAAGTGTTCACAGACAAAGGTGTTTTTTTATATTAAATGTATAAATATCTTGTTATAAGTTAAATAATCTGCCAGTGGATCTAGTACTTTTTAACGAATATAAGTTTATATCTTGCAGAAATGTTACTTGTACGGTAAGCCAGTTTTGTCTTATTTCAAGTCTACTAAGATATTTACAATAGAAACTAGACAAAAAGTCAAGATTTTGTGTTTTGTAAAATTGGCTTCCTTGGGAATCAATAAAAAAACAACAATTAAAAAAAAACATGTTTTTCTAAATATTTTTAATTAAAACGCAGTAATGCACATTGCAACTTTAAACCAACTTGAATGTATTAACTGCATGAATCATTTATCAACATAATCTACACAGTTTACTGCTAATCAGACAAATGTCTAAAATTATAGTAGCTTTGTTTTGTTCAGCCCCTAATTTATTTATACACCTACCTCTTTGTGTACATGTGTTATAGCAGTGGCCAACTCCAGGCCGTCCAGCAGGTTGTTCCCATCGTAGTCATGCATCTTAAAATAATGCAGCTGAAGCTCCTGGGGCGTCATGTCTTTCTCAGGTTTGTCGATGACCCCCTCCAAGTGCTCCATGATGTGGCTGAGAGCAGAGGAAAGAGAAAAATCAGAAACTGGCCCATCATCCAGTGAGCTGGGCGATGTGTCTGGACTTCAGGGGTGTTGCTCACTCTTTGTCTTGCACCATGTTTCTGTCAAGGCGAGTTATCTGAGCTGAGCCTCCCACTACAGGAGGAGGCTGCTGCTGGTGTGGAGACAACTGAGAGTGAGCACACAGGAAAGAGCAGGACAGGAAGAGGATCAGACCCCCCCACTGTGCACGACGCCTCATCCTGCAAGGGAGACAAATGCATATTCCTCTGTAAATCCATGTAACTAAACCCGTTTCTCTCCTGTTGACAAAAAACAGGCTAAGATTAGTAATAACTGTTCATCATAATGATAAACATAAACAAAAACGGACTTCAGCTCTGTCCTGTTTACATGTGGTTACAGTAAAATGCACAACGGAAGGGTAAACAAACATTACCGTTAGCTAACACGCACATTTGCTAGCCAAATTACTTATTTCCCGACAAAAAATCCCGCTAAACAAAATCAGCATCTACTCGGCCACAGTGAATACAAACAGCCAACTCAAATCCTCACTTTCAAGTAGTCGGTGTGGCCGCTGCAAACCGCTAAGGTGTTGTTTCCTCGCTGTCCTGTTAGCGACGGTAAGCGCTGGGAACTATAATGGACCAAGTAGCTTCCCGTACGGTGTTATGGACACGACAGCTCATTTTGATTGGTCAACAACGATCGAAGATTGCGTAACAGAAGCGAGACACTTTCCCTCCTCCAACGGTCAACTCTTGCAACGTTTCAAACTGCAAAAAGTTAAATGTACTAGTAAATATTTAACCGAAGAGGTTTAGCAATTGAATAAATCAAGTAAAACCACATTAACTCGGGATTGCCCTGAAATCAAGTGATATTATGTTCCTGTTTTAATTAAAAACATCAGAATTGCTAAATGACCGTCTTAAAGACACGTCAACATCTCCGCCATATTGGGAGGGGAAGCTGTTACTATTGAAATTATTCAAAGTGAGTGCAGTTTTAAAGCTTTTAAATAAAGCTCAGAGTCAACATTTCACAAAAAAAAAAAAAAAAAGATTTTGAAGTAGAAATGTTTTATCTTCACGTTTGTCTCTGTTCAGCAGCTTTTTATCTTCACTGTTAAGCTAACAAGCAAACCAAAAACTTAGAATATGAACTATGATGCTCTTTCTGTGTCTGATAAGAAAAATAGATTAAAAATTGTAAATAGTATTAGTAAACTGTGAAAAAGATTAGTTTTGAAAACAGATTCTCCCTCTCATGCTCCCAAATTGCGTCATTCTCTACTGTATTTTTAAAGTGCAATTTTTTGCTTTGGAAATCTCTGGGGATGCAGTGGCATGAAAAGTAGGGCCAATATTCTAAGACTCAGTGTTGTAATATTACAACATCTCAATTTCAAGCTTAAAAAATGAACAAATGTTGACTTTTTTTTTTTTTACCCAAACTTAGACATTTAACCCTAATATGAATCTAACATATTAGATTTAAGGACCAGCCCAAGCACTACTGCCAGTTACGTAGATATACCCAAATGGTAACTTATTGTTAGTGAACATGTTCAGTGCATTAATATAAAATACTTTTGGCACATTTGACACCCCACAGTTGTAGTTTAACTTCTCTCGTGACCTTTCCTGTTACATTGTGGGTTTTGCTGTTGAGTTGGAATTTTTGTTGTGATTTCTGAGGTTTCATTGTGGATTTTCCTGATACACTGTGCTCTACGCGGTTGAGTTGTGGTTTTTGCTGTTGCATTGTGACTTTTTTGGTGTTGTATTGGTGCTTTTGTTATTGCACTGTAGATTTTGTTGTTGCAGTGAGGCTTTTGTTCTTGCATTGTAGCATTTGTTGTTGCTTTGTAACTTTTGTTGTTGCGTTGTCACATTTGTTGTTGTTTTGTGGCTTTTGCATATTGCTGACCAATCTGGGTCACCGTAAAAGCTTACTTCTTAGTTGTTTTCTCAAAGTATAGCAGTTTATATTTCTCTCTCTAATTAACTAGAATAACTTTCCAGAAGTTACCAAAAAGCCCTATTCATAATTAAAGTGATTAAATTTCCAGTTAGTGCAGTAGGTACCTAAAAGACACTTCACTACATCAGGAAAGCCTACAAAAGACGTGCCAGGTTTCCTGTAGGTAGTGAAACATCTTTGTCGGACAGAAAGCTTTGAGGGCGCAGTGACGCTCTCCAGTCAGCAGGGGGCGCAAACCCGCCGCTGAGCGCCCAGATCCAGATTAATCATGCTGTGGTTGGACGCCCGCTGAGGAGACGGACAGGCGCTTTTCATGTCGCGCAAATGTCAACTTTCCCAAGAGAAAATGACGCTGCCAAATCTCTCTTCAAGATGCTTGAGGTTTCTCTTAATGTCTCACAGTAGCTGACTTAGACTCTGTAGTGAATTACAATTCTCCCTTGTGTTTACTCCCTGTGTTGTGGTTATTTTATTCAAACTAGATTCAGTAATTCCCCTTCAATTTACTCACAGAGTTCTCCCCTCTATTATTAATGTTTAATGGTATTAACTGGGCTGCACTTTCTAGTGCTTCATAAAGTTCAAGTACATGTCATGGAGCAGAGACTAACAGATGTATTCGCTTGTATCTGAGCCAAGGGAGGTAAGCTGGTGTCAGCCTGCCACCAGTCAGGCAGAACCCAGATCAGAGAGCCAGACAAACATTTTACGTTTTTTACCCTCAGCCATAAGCAATATTATTTTTACAAACATGGCATTATATTGCAGATAGTTCTGCTGTTTGTGTCCAGCCACAGTTTTGCTTTGCTGTTTCTTAAGCCCTGCCTGATCCAGTTAAAGTGTTAACGGGAAAAAGATTAGAGACTTGGCTCTTATTCGCCTTCACACTGCTACAAATCAAGCTCTGCCAGCCAGGGCCGGCCCAGAGTTTAATGATTTGCTAACCCACCCTTACTATTAATTTCTGTTAAGTTTTGCATTAAAGATCACATATTTTAAGAGTCAGGCAGCAATGAATCCCTTAAACAGTCATCTCAGCCAGCTTGCACTATTTATTAACAAAGAAAAGTTACAGTTTGGGTTACTCAGCCGCTCTAGTGTTTCCATACAGTAGGAAAGGAGGAGCCACTATTGTGAAAAACTCAAAAGTTAAAGTACTTTTTGATATTTATTTATGAAGAGGTACTTATTTGACCCAAAATAAAAGAAATTGTGACACCATAAAAGCATTAATAATAGCATGGCTGCAATAAATTTCAATAAAAATTTATTGAAATTGTTATTGTTTTTAATTTCAATAAAAAAAAAACCCCAAAAGAAATCAAACTTAAAAAGTAAAAAAAGGCCTAATAAATTTGGAATAATAAAATGACAAAATATGAAACTAATAATCATAATAATAAAACTATTATTAAACTACTATATTTATAAAACACATGCAAAACGTATGACTATATCAATATAATTATCAGACAAATCTACCTATATGTTTACAGGAAGTCTGCAAATTACTTTATATATGTTATAGATTTTATTGTCATTTAACTGCACATTTACAGCTGAGTAAAGGCTACAAAAATAATAAATGAATATAAAATAATTAATAAATAAATTTAAATAAATAAATTTAAATAAATAAATAAATAAATAAATAAATAAATAAATAAATAAATAAATAAATAAATTTGGAGAGGCGAATTTAAAAGTTACCTTAAATTCAAACTTCCCTTAAAAATTAAAAATAAACTCAAAAATCTGAGTTTAAGTTGGCCTGGTTTTCAAGTAACAACCCTCAAACTTAAATCGATTTTGCTTTATTATTTCATCATATGCCTTGTTCACTTTTCCATTACACGTTTTTCCTTCCACTCAACTTTCCATTAAGAGAACTACAACTTCTTTTAGCAATAAGTGTGCTTTATCCTCTTTTGCGGAGTGTAATAATACATATTTTTAATTGTTTTAATGCAATTTCTTTTAAGTTTAAGACGTAGACTTTAAAATTAAAAAGATTAAAGAAAAAGAAACCTGGAGTATTTCTATCTGAGTTTCACTTTTTAAATTGATTTGCTTAAAAAAATAAAACTCCTATCAATATTTTAAAATATTGAAGTGGATTTTGTCTTTGTTTCAACAAGTTTACGTTAAAAGTTTATAAATAAACCATAATAATCTGGATTTAGTTTGTTGTTTCCGCGCCCGGACAGTAATGACCGACACCTCACCCCACCCAACCCTGCGCACTCAAACATCTCCTGGTTAGTCCGCAGTTACTCCCATCGTGTCCGGGGACTACGGCCACCACCACCACCACCACCGGGACAGAGCGGCCATGGCGTCCCGGCTCTCCTTCACCCAGGTCCGGCTGGAAGCGGAGCTGGAGCGCTACCGGGCCGAGTGCCAGTGGGGCAAAATCCTGGCGCTGGTGGAGCAGATGCACGCTGCGCGGATCCATGAGGACGGTGAGTGACCGCGGGTCGCACCTGGACGCTGGGAAGCCGCTGCACGCATGTCCCGTCACTTCCTGGTTGCTCTATTAACTCAAATACGATCAGTTCACTGTTAAATATTAGAGAAAAATAACCTGGTTCTCACCCATCTTTAAATTTAGATTTATTGGAGCAGTTTTAAAACAGACACTGATATCTGCTAATTAAAGCAGAAAGTTTTTTATAAATGAACCAATTTTGAAAGAAAAATTAAGGATTTCCTGCTGTTTGAGTTGATTTGTATTTTTTGCAGTGAGCATACTATCACACTGTACACCAGCTGGACCTTGGACTCCAAACAGGATTAGTCGAAGGTCTCCTAAACAGATCTCCTCCTCAAATAACACAGATAAAACCAGTGAAAATCGTGCATCACAACCTGCGCTTTGAAAGAAAACGTCTCCCTGGAAGTTTACAGTAAACAAGAAGAGTCTCTGTCACGTTTAAGCAGAAAACTCTGTCGCTCACTCCAATGTTAAACCAGATTTATCCACCAGCCTGCTAATTTTCCGCCTTTACACTCGAAATCATTCCACAAAACTAAAGCAAACACACTTTTCTCTCTGCTCCTCATAAAACTAGGCTGAGGCATTTCACTAATGCATCTGCCTCCACCTGTAATCTACGCAGAGTAAATATGGGTTCGAGTGTCCTGACTACAGGCGTCTGTTGCTGTGCTTACATTGGACCGATGGTTCACTCAGGTGTTAAATTAATGTGGTATTGCTGTGCGCTTGCATGGTTTTCATTTGCTGAACCAGCAGCGAGTGTGCAAGGTGCACCAGGAGGAGCTGGCTTCAGATAGAGGAACTTCATGGTAGTTAAGGTGGTCATATATTAAACCTTCGCCCAACTCTGACAGCAATAAAAAGCAGCCATGTTGTTTCTGCTAGGTCTGGCGTCATTGTGTACTGTGGCTTTAAAAGGTTATGTTGAATTTCTGTGATCTAAAGTCCAGAGAAAATATTCGAATGACTTTAAGTTTGATTTTTGCAATATATGACTTTTAGGAGGAGGAAAATGTTAGAGCTAAACAACGTAAAAGAGTGATGATGAAATCCTTTACACAATGTCCAACCCAGAGCAAAGTAGTAATGGTAAAGTTTTCAAAAGATATATTTGGTGGGTTTATCCAAAAGGAGGTCAAGAAAACTGCAGTAATGTGTGTCGAAGTTGGCAGATCTAACAAACCAGCACCCTACAGGGGGGTTTAAAAGTTCAGTCAGTAATTCATCACTGTGGTAAATAGAAATATGTGTAATGCAGGTGTAATAGCAGCAACAGATATAAAGATTCACAGATATAAAGATTCACAGATATAAAGGTTCACACAGTATTCTGTAAAGCTGCAGTATGTAATTTTTATTTTTTTAAAAATACATATTTTTTTTACCATGTTGCAACAGTTTAGCATGAGACAGATACTGTGTGAAAAAATTAAGCTCATCTGTTTTCTCCCAGTGCTAATGAGAAACAACCAATCAGAGCCGGAGGAGGGTCTTAGTGCTGTCATCATTTTTTGGCAATAAGTTAGTGTTTTTTGGTGTCTGGAAAAAGAACCATTAAAAAAAAAAAAATCCCGATTGTTAAATTTGAATGTGCTGTTACCTAGCAACCCCAGGTGAGCCCATCTCATTGGGCAGGAATACTGAGACAAAAACACAGATTTGTGACACATTTATGCACAAACATCTTTTGCAGAAGCTCAGGTTGTAACAGACAAGAGGATGAAACACTTACTAAAAGATTTTTTAGTTAAATAATGACGTGACGCGGGCTATGCAGCTGGTTCTTCTCTTTGGTTTTTATAAAATGGAAAAGCATAATGCCAGCTTTTTACTGCATTATATATTGAGCCTAATATTTTAGGAATTGTTTTGTTTGTCTGTAACTAATAAAACTGACTGATAAACCTCAGAAGCACACATGCTATACTTATAGGTAAAATCAGACTAAGGAAAAGAAAATAGTGATTTTTCTATGTTTTTCTAGATCAAATGTTGGTTTTAGCAGGATTTTAAAAAAAAAAAAAAAAAAGCTTGAACAACGTCAAAGTGTGAGGCTTAAACATAAAGAAAACTCATATTTCTTGCTAAAATTAGCCAATCAAGCCATTTGGAAATTGGAATTTGAGAAGAAAACATGATAAATACAAAAAACTAAAGGTAGAAAACTAACATATGGCAGCCTGTAGCAACAAATTGAAGAGTAAATCACCATTTGGTTCAGTAAATGGGTGAACTCTGTGTTTCTCACTGTGGTTTTAGAGGAAAACACGTCCTGGTGTTTATCCCCTACCTTCTCCTCAGAGATAGGTTTCTCCTTGGCTGTGCTGATAAACGAACCAGCAAAAATGTCAAGTATATGTGAGCATAAACACGGCTCAAAGAGCTGGCATCAGAACACACCCGGGCTGATGGAGCTAAACAGGAAATCTTTATTGGAGTGTGTGTTTGTGTGTGTTTACACAGACAGGGGTTGGATCAGAGAACGGTTGTTTTTCCGTCTTTGTAAACCTTAATATCATGAGTTAGATGAGTTTTTACTGTATGTGCAGGATTCAGATGGAAACTGTACTGAAGAGAAACCACTAAACGATTAATCGGATTAACAGCGATTAATTGGTTAATGAAGTAATCGTAAACTAATTTAGAAATCGATTAATCTTATATCAAAAAACACCATCTGCTTAAAGAACAACACACTCAGAGTAGTAATTCAGCCAAAATTGCACAAACAGTATATTTTCTACTTAAGATTAAAAAAACTTTATAAGTTTGTCCTACACAAAACTCAAGTGGAACATTTTTTTAGCTTTTGAAGGAACTCTACTTCTAAGCAACTTTTGCTATTCAGTTATTAATTTACAAAGCTAAAAATTAATCAACAGATGATTCCTTAACTTTGATGTCAAGTCTGAGCTTTTGACGTTGTTAGCATTTTTTTGTTGTTGCAGATGCATCCTTTGCTACAAATGATAAAGAAATGCTATGTTAATGCACTTAAACAAAATGTTTATTTTTTATTTAAAAGAATAATTAAATCAGTGACTTCTTTGCAGCTTTTAATCTATTTATAACTTTGCAAAAAAGGCTTAAATGAAATAAAAAATCAGCAGCAATCGATTAATCTCATGATAATCAATTAATCATCAGATAGGATGATTAATCAATTAAGTTGGTGATTAATCGATCAATTAAATCGATTATTCTGATTAATTAATTACTAAATAATCATTAGTTCCACTGCTAGAAACCACGTTTCAGGAATGTTTCTTCTGTGCTTTGAGTTCTGGTTTTGATAAACTGAGAGAAGGTTTTCTTTGGCTACAGAAATGGATGACCTCTGACCCCCAGTTCATGCTTGTTCCATTGCTTTTAACTTTCTTCAATCCCACGCTGCAGATGATTACGGCACGCTGCTGATGGCCGAGGCGATGCTGGAGGAGTGCCTGCTGGAAAACATGGATCTTTTACGGAGCTCCACACCTTTAGCTGACAAGACTCAGGCCAGACTCTGCAAAGCCAAAGGTTACCTGAACACCATCCTGAGCCGAGGCCGCCTCACAGTCAGTCTAATCTTCAGGTCTTTTCCAGTCATTTGGAAATAACTACCAGGAAATATTTTGACAGGGAACCAAAATCGTTTGTCATGCCGTCGTTGGAGTGATGGTGTATTTCTGGTTTTCCTGCAGCCAAGATACTTGAATGAGGCTCTGCTGCTGATGGCCAAAGTGCACTACGTCCAGGGCCGGTACCGGGACGCCCAGGGAATGTGTGCCAGGGTGGGTTTGGAGGAGCTGACCCAGGACGACCAACCTGTCTACCACTTTCGCCTACTGGCTGAGGCCTTCGTCATTAAAGGTACCTCACAATTAACTGGTTTGTTGTTTAGAGCTTTCGTGAAACAAGCATCTCTTCAATAGGCTTTGCTTCAAAATCCTGTTGAGGCTGCAGGTATCCCTGTTGATTGAGCACTTTTTTCTGCCAACATTTTTCCTTCCACTAAACCAGGTCTGCAACCTTTACAAACTAAACAACCATTTAGTTTGTGTTTTCACACCTGATATTCTAGTAGATTTGGTTTGATTTGGGACTAAAATTGCAACATTTGTTACATTTTCAGCTGGTGCAGTTCTCTTTCACACTGCACTGTGTAAAACAAACCAAACTAAGTGAAAAACCTGTTCCCCTCCTCGCCTATGGGGACGCTGCACCAAGAACCATTGAAGGAAACAACATAAAGAAAACCTCAAAAGACACGGAGCGCAACTTTCTTCTAAACAAAATATAAACCAAAATGGAGTAGTGTCAGATTTTAGCTGTTGTAGGATTTTGCTTTTGTCTTTGGTAAAATACCACAAGTCATTTCTCCATTTGTTTTAGTTGTATTTACCCAGAATGCCCTGCACTGACAAATCCTGTCTGTAAATATGTTCCACCCATAACTCCTGAAATGGCATAGATTTAGCTTCACTGGTTCAAATTCTGTAAAATACATATATACGTATTAGCTGTAAACCATAATCAGTAAACCTAATATAGACAATGCTGGAAATATATGATTTTGTGTAATTAATCTATATGAAATTGCAGTAAAAACGAAGGACGCCTGTGAGTGTCACCTGGTTTTTATACTGTAGCGTTCATCAGTCAACTTTCAAGCCAAGCTATAAATAAAAGAACAAGCAAAACCAAACTTCAGGCTCCTTTTGTGGTAGTTATGGGAGGAGAAAAACCAAATTGACCTTGTATGTGGATCTAAGGTGCATGGCGAGTTTTTTACGAGGCAGATGGGACACAGCTGGGAACCATCAGCCTGATCGGGTAGATAGTCGGGTCAGGGAGCGCTCTGCGTTTTTCCAAGAGCCGAGTCCTAACCTGAGCTTGTCACTGTTAAAGAAAACATATTTTTCTTGCTCTGAAGTCGCATCAGAGAGTGAAATGTGCCAGTTTTGGAGTAAAGCTGTGAAGTATTTTGGTGTTTTTCCAAGCAGTTTCATCACTATGCTCCGATCGCCATAAATCAGATTCACAGAACACCCGGACTCGGTGTAATCTCGTTTCACTCATCATCATTATGTCGTTACCAACCCCCTCTTCGTTTCCTGACAGTCGGACATGACCTCATGCTCATGAAACATTAAGGAATATTACAGCAATAACTGTCAGATTTAGATTTCCTCTGCTTGTTTTGATTCCCCTGAATTATATTTACCGCTGGCTCCTTCTCAGGCCTCTCTGTGGGATATGAAGCTAGCTGCTGTGGGAATCAAGTCAGACATGGATGATGTCTGACGGCTGGCAGCTGTCTGCTTATTTGATTTGGCTTGGCGTCGAGCCCAAGGCTGCTCAGGGCCTCTGGCCTCTTCCCGTCTTGGAAAGTTCTTGAACTCCTTGAATATTTGTATTAATCAGTCCAGTTTGGGCATCTGGTCTTCCAGGAACGTCAGTTTCCTCTCTGTTTGTGTGTCCACTGTGTGGAGGCCTGCAAACGCACACAGAAGACATGATGAATGTCTAAAAGTAAATTAGCATGTTAATAAAAGCCTGTTGTGTTTATGACTGAAACGATTAATCAAATTAATAATGATTAATCGATTACTTCATTAAAAATGCCATTTAGTGAACGTATGACACAGTTTAAGCAGTAATTCAGCCAAAACTGTACAAAAAATAGATACTGGTACATTTTGCATTTAAGATAAAGAAAACACATTTTTCATTGTTAAATTAGTATCATGTACTTTACAGGGATTTTGTTGTCATGTAAGCCCATGTTTGTAGCTGTGGTTTTCTGTTGTTTTTCCCTCTTTCTGCAGATATACAAGCAGACTTCTTTTGTGTTTATCTTGTCTTCTCTTTATCCTTCTTTATTTTTTCTTTTATTATCTCTCTCTCTTCCTTTACTTTAACTTTTTGACCCACCACTTTTTCTTTTCTGTCTCTTTGTCTGTTATGATTGAATAGTTTTTTGTCCATCAAGTGAAGCATCCTGAAAGCCATATTGCTGCCTGTGAAAGTAAATCCTTCAGGGTTCTCCTTTGGTACTCAGACAATTATGCTGATTGCTACACTGCCAAAAAAATGATAAAAATAATAACAATAAAATAAAACACAGGTGATTACTGATGATGATTAACTGCTGCATTGGAAGGGACCTTCCCTCTTAAATCCTACCAAAACAGCAACCTAGTTTTTCACTCTCAGCTTTTGAATTCGTCTTTGTATACCTGAGGTGGCATTTAATTAGTAAATTTTGTACTTTCTGCTTTCAATGTTTGTCAGTTCTTGCCTCGACTTGTGAGTTGAGGAAATAAAAATAGAGGCAAATTTATTTTCTCTTGTTGATGCATCCAAACAACAGAAATAGAGCGAAACAGGAAGGAGTATGGAGCCAAAATTCAAATGTTCCGAAGGCTAAAACCCAAACAATCAGGAAAACAGAACAGAACATAATGCGCCTGCATGTTTCTGAGTGGATTTGACTTTTTATTCCTTTTTGTCCATAAAACCGTAAATAGAAAACAAAATGAAGAGCATACGTTGGGTTTATGTTACGGAAGAATACAACTAATTGTCAATTAATACATTAGATCAAAATTAGCTCCAATCGAATAACGTCTGTTAGACCTTTTCTTATGGTTGTAGTTTGGCTGCCATCCAGCAGAGGGCGCCGCGTAGTATTAAGCGGATTTTTTTTTTTTTTTTTTTTTTTTTTTTTAAGGAGTACGGGTATTTTGGGAAGAATATAGTAAATAAAACATCTGATCCATACTCCAATCTGGAAGGTTGCGGTAATGCACCTGTTTGCCAACAGTCATAAAAATATTAGAAGAAGAAGAAGAAGAAGAAGAAGAAGAAGAAGAAGAAGACGACTATCCCAGAACGGGAACGAGAAACTGTCCAAACAGAGTACGGTGCGGGATGAAAAATGCTGTTTGTGTGGTTCTCTTTTGAAATATAAACACTCAAGTTAATTTATAAACTTAATAGTGATTCATTCAGTCGAGCTGCATGACGGAGCAGCGTCAACTTATTCAAAAATGACTGATGTGCTAGGACGTGGTTGTAGTGAAATGCTAAATGGTGAGATGGAGGCAGATGATCGACTTTCGAAGAGAAAAATACGTTTCCAACTTTACATTTTCCTAAAAAGGATGCATTTCTTTACATCTGACTTCCTCTAACTGTTTGATCAACCATGCTTCAGGTCTTTCTCTGGACCACCAGACGCTGTCTGCTGTGTCTCGTATCCGTCTTTCGGAGAGAGAGGAAGAGAGTCTGTCCTGCTTCCTGAAGGCGTGTGACGCAGCTCTGTCCTACCTGCAGGAGCTCGATAAGGTGAGCCTTCACAAATGCACGGTTCGCACGACGTGCTGGCATGTTTACTTAAGAGTTTCTGTTTTCAGATGGTAACCATTCCACACGCCAAAATGGGCAAAGGCAGCCTCTTTTCTGCAGCTGTTGACGTTGACCTGGGCTTCTTCCTGCAGGCAGCCCTGCAGAGCGCTTACCTCTGTCTGCTGCAGAGGGGGTGAGTGCAGCGGAAACCAATAAAATCTTCTTACACTATCTGAAAAAGTTTTCACAAGTATAACATTTGCTTTTTCTAGTTTTACAGGTGGAAGTTTGCAGTCTCACTTTATAAAGACAGGGACTTTCTGCTAGGGCTGAAAAATTGTATCAATCTTGATTAATCGATTCATTAACGGTTAACTAATTAAGCAGTTAAGTTGCTTGCAGAATCAGGAACCTCCTCATTCAGTCTTTCTGAGTTCTGATCACTTCAATTGGAGAAATTTTCTTTTCTTCAGACTTTTTGCTTAGACACAACATATTACACAACATTGGAAATATATTAAAATATGTTAAAGTAAACAAGAAATTCAGTTCCATTTTAAATATGGAAACAAACATTTTAATGCCTGAAATGCAATGACATCATTCCTTCAATGTCAAATCAGCATGTGAAAATCTCAGCCCTAATCTGTGATTGTTTTCTGGGTGCACATATTTGTAGACAAACTTTTTTTTTTCTTAAATGCAAATTGTATATATTTTTGTACTGTTTTTCTTAATTACTGCTAAGAATATGTTGTTTCTTCAACAAATTGCCATTTTTGAGTGTGTACACTCGATTACTAAGTCAGTTGATTATTTCAATAATTGATTCATCACGGTTAATCATTTCAGCCCTACTTGTAAATTAAACCTGGCTGTTGAACCATTTTTTATCATTTAATTTTAGCATTAGTAGTTTAAAGGAGTGTATGTTGTTTTTGCTCATACCTGAATTTTGTTTGTTTTTGTACAGAAAATATGTCAGAAATAAGTTGAACATGTATTTATCATGATCTTAATTTATTTAATTTCAAAAATATATTTAATTTCAAGAATATTAACAAGGATTCCTAGACCTTTGGAAGACGCTTCTACACTTTTATGTGCAGTTTCATGAGTTATTCATGTAAACTTGCAGCACATTTGTAAAAATCTGCTCTTTTAATATGTGTTGACGTTAAACTTGTGGAAAGAAAATAATGCAACTCTCGGTTTGAACCAGTAGGTGTCAGTGTTGCATTAAATCAGAAAATAACTATCATCTCTCTCTAATGAAGGCCTGGTGTTTAGGATTGACTGTCAATAGTTTCAATTTGATTCTCCATGTGTCAAATGAAAACAGTTTGCTGCTGTTTTATGTTATCTGAAAACCATTTATTTTTAGTCGATCTTTAAAACCAGTGCATAAGCCCAATGTGTGTGTGTGTGTGTGTGTGTGTGTGTGTGTGTGTGTGTGTGTGTGTGTGTGTGTTAGTCATCTTGCACAGGGTGCCCACCAGCTGCGTAGGGTGCTCAGGGTGGTGGAGTCGCGAGGGTCTCAGAGCTTCAGGAAGGTGAGGAACAACAAATGTCTCATGCTAGAATCATTACAATGAAAAAGGTTTAAAACAAGAATCTGGTGTGATTTCTGCTGGGCTGGCCGGTAAATCAATAACGATATATCTCGCGGCAGAAACGTGATCAATAACAATCGATAATTCTAACTACTAGAGTGGAATATTTACTGAACTACAATCAAGAATCGCACAGCATTCTGGGAAATGGAGGCAGCTAGTAGCCAGATAAGCAAGATCCACTGCAAAAACACAAAATCTTACCAATAATTTCGGTCTAGTTTCTACTGCAAATATCTTAGTACACTTAAAATAAGACAAAGTAACTTTTCAGCAAGATTTTAGTATTGATGAAAAAGTACTTTTTTTATTGGTAGATAAATTATCTTATAAAATGGGGAAAATGTCTTGTTACAAGTAAAATAATCTGCCAGTGGAACAAGCACTTTGTCATCGATATTAAGGAATTATTTACTTAAAACAAGACTATCTTGCTAAAAAAAAAGTGACTTGTAAGTTAGTTTTGTCTTATTTCAACTTTTACTTGGTAAGATTTTGTGTTTTTGCAGTGTTGGTGGCGTTAACTAACTCACATTTCGGTTAAATAGCTGAAATAACCTCACAGCATCCTGCTGGGTATCAAGCAGTTTCAACCCCCTCCAACTCTGGTTACCTAGCAACAGCTTGCTAAGTACCTGGCACAGCAGCAGTTTAAGGTTTTACCACCCTGATTCATGACGGCTTAAAAATAAAAACCACAATGGAGAGAAGTAAAAACTGTGGGTAAATGTATCTCACACATTTAAAAAAAAAAAAAGAAAGAAACTAATCAATAATTATCAAAATTGACTGATATGATTTCTGACTGCATTAAAAACGTGTTTGTTTTTCATGCCAGTGTGCAGCCATGAAGCTGGCGCAGGTGCTGCTGAGCTCCGTGAGCGAGGGCAGCTACTGGCCCCCGCTGGGCCCCCCGCCCGCAGTCTGGCTCCAGAGAGAGGGAGCCGCCGCCTCCAAAGACGCCATGTACCCCACCTTCAGACCGCCGCAGCGCTACGCCACAGACTGGTACGCCTCACCTTCATCTCCCAGGAGTCTGAATGTGACCGGAGGACCTACAGAGGCCTCAGGTCTAATACTTCACTGATGCAAGGTTATTACAGCTAACTAAAATTAAAACAAAAAAATTAAAGTGAGAAAACATTTCTGTTAACTGAAATAAATAAAAATTGTAATTAATGGTGGAAAACTGTAACTTACTCGAACTAAACTGTGTATTTATAAAACTTACTTAAACTTACTGAAGTTATTCGTTGTTTTCTTGTTTATGATAAAATGCGAATCAGTTGATTACTGAAAAACAACTGAATATATTTTTTAAACTGTTGTTTTTTGCTAAATATTCATTATCCAGATAACTCAATAATAATTGTAGAATAATAATTATTCTGGAATAACTATTATTGCAGAATAATTATTGAATAATAATAATCAAATTGTAATTTTATTCTTTATTTTATCATAATAATATTTATTATTTAATATTAAAATTAAAATAATTTTATAAAAAAAATAATTGTATTATTTTATCATAATAAAATTATTAGGATACATTTTTTTATTATAATAATGTTAGTATGATAACGATTAATTCAAATTATTTTCTGATTAAAATTTATTGCATTTATTTTTATTTTTCTCCTCCTTTTCCTTTAAGTTTTCTGTGGCCCCAGGTTGAAAAACTCTGGTCCATGAAGTCACTGCAAAAACACAAAAACGTACCAAATATTTGAGTTAATTAAAATAAGAGAAAACTAACTTCAAAGTAACTTTTCAACAAGATAAAGGAGCTTTTTTCAAGTTAATAAATCCTTAATATTGATGGAAAAAGTGCTTGTTCAATTGGCAGATAAAATTTTCCCATGTTGTAAGTGAAATAATCTGCCGATGGAAGTAGAACTTTTTCATCAACACTAAGACATAATTGACTTATTGTCTCTTTTCTCTTGCTGAAAAGTTACTTGGAAGTTCGTTTTGTCTTGTTTCAACTGTACACAGATATTTGCACTAATAACTAGACCAGAAATACTTGGTAAGTGTTTGTGTTTTTGCAGTGTTGGATCAAAACAGACATCTTTTCCGATCCTAAAAGCCCAATCTTGTCATCCGATCTACATGTTGAACTCATTGTCTGCTTCATTTCTGCGTTTCGCCCGTTGCAGGGATCCAGCAAACATTGCTCAGGCCCCCGTGAGCCATACTTAGTCACCGCCACATGACTAATCCTGCCCACACTATCATAAGTGAAGATCTAAATCCATGTCTGAGATTAGCAGGCGTGGAGGAGCCGAATTCCCCCCAGAGGAGCATCCGTGTGTCAGCGTTGATGATTACTTTTTATCGTCACGTAGTTGTTTCATAAAAGGTTGTGATGTTGTCTGCGGATTGTGTCCTTCAGTAGGACATGCGTGTGTGTGTGTGTGTGTGTGTGTGTGTGTGTGTGTGTGTGTGTGTGTGTGTGTGTGTGTGAGACATCTGAGATGATGCTGTGCGTGATACATCCGCGGTGGTCCGTATTGTGTTGCAGCCCCACAGGTGAAACAGAAACCAGACACTGTCGGTAATCTGCCGTCGCTCCGTCTTTGTTTGTGTTTGTGTGAGCGATAAACTTCCTGTTTTGGAGCTTTTCCTGTTTTTTTTTTTGTTTTTTTTCTTGGCAGCTGCTTCTGTCCACAGGACGTGGTGGAGGAGGCTGTGCTGCTGCTGCTCATCACAGAATCAATGGTGAGACACACACACTCCTATCCTTCACTGCGTGGTCCAGCTACAGCAGCAGGGACAACGTCCAACAGTCTCTTTCCCCGTCTGATTTCTGTGTTTTTGTCCCAACAGACGAGCGGGGAAGCGGTAATCAGCCGACTGCCGGACCAGGCCGAGGCGCGCCAGGCCAGCCTGCAGGATGCCACCTCCGTCTACGACCTGCTGTCCATCGGCATGGCCAGGAGGGGGCAGTACGCCATGCTCTCTGAGGTGTGGGGATCATACACTGGAGGTCAGAGGTTTCTGTTTTCAGATCCTTCTGCTTCTTCATAATCCCACCGCAGGGAAATTCACAGATTAGGTTTTGGTTAAGAAATAATGGATAATTTGCATTTTCAGTGCAGCAGTGACGAATCTTCCATATTCTCTTTGTTTTACACTGTAAAAACACAAAATATAACCAAGAGGTTTTGTCTAGTTTCTTGTGAAAATATCTTGGAAAATTTGAAATAAATCAATAACATGCAAGTTTCATTAAGATACAGGAGCTTGTTTGAAGTCAATAATTCCTTAATATTATTTTTTTTAAAAGTGCTAGTTACACTAGCAGATTTTGTTTCACTTGTAAAATGGGTGAAAAAGTTAGCTACTGGAACTAGTGCTTTTCTCATCAGTAGTAAAGAATTGCTGATTTAAAACAAGCTCCTGTGTTCATGAAATTTTACTTGTAAGTTAGTTTTGTTTTGTTTAAAGTTTACTAACATATTTGCCCTAGAAGCTAAACCAAAATATTTAGTCAGATTTTGTGTTTTTGCAGTGTAGGAAGCTCAAACCTAAGTAGTTGAAGTTTTGGCACCAACTTACATCCCACATAGGACCTGCAAAGCACACCAAAGAAAGTTGAACTACAGGAAATTTATTGCATGAAAGTAAATTTTGAAAAAATGTACATAAAATAGCCTTCATCAGTTTAAGTTTTACAGTAAAGGTTACTGTAAAACTAATTGATAGTTACATGGCAAAACAAAAAGAAATGCCATGTAACTATCAATGCTGGTTGTTGAAAGTTGCATGAAACAAAAATAAGTTTTTTCCATCCTGTTCTCTAAAAATGTGAGCAAAATCCAGGCTGTTATTTCACGGGTTTGCCTCTGGCGAGGCTGATTGATTGTTTATTTCTGACATCTTTTCCAGGAGCCGCGTTTCTGCAAACACTTTTCCAGAAAAATGAAACACACAAACACAGAGGGATACAATGGAAACGTCAGGCAATAAAAAGAGATCAGTTGTGTCCAGATTTCAGTCCCCTGACACAAACGGTCACCTCAGACCAAACCAAATTATTTAGGACACGCGTGTCAAACTCAAGGCCCGTGGGCCAAATCCGGCCCGCCGTAGCTTTTTATGTGGCCCTCTGGATTCTAGACTAAACACTAAATGTGCTTAAATATGTTATCAGTCAAATCAATTCAGTTTTTATCTGCCAAATTATATCAATCAGTCCCTCCAGTTTCTTGAGAATTATCATGGAAATTCTCGCCAAATCAACAAGTCCCTGCACTTTTTTGCTAATAGTTGGGAGTTTAATGCAGATTTTTCTCAAAATTGTTAAAAACTTTCTTACTTGTACTAAACAGCTGCTTCAGCTTTAATTGACGTCAGATTATAGCCCATGATCTATACAGTGAGTAATAAAAAGTCACATTTACCGTGATAAATGAGTGCAAATATTTTAAAATTAGCATCACAAACATTTTGATTTTTATTACAAAAAATAACAAAAAAAATCAGGAAATCCTGGAGGGACTGAAAAGATGTTTAGTAATATTATTTGATTTTAAGAATTGATATTTTAACAGTTTGCGAACAGTTTTTATCAATACATTCTGGCACAACCGGCCCTTTCAGAGCATTCAGGATCTGAATTTGGCCCAAAGCGAAAATAATGTTGAGGTTCGACAAGAACAGCAACTCAGGAGCCAAATAGGCAAACATGGTGGGAGAAATGATCAACCCAGGAAGAATTACATTTCACAAAATAAAATAAATTACTTTCACTTTCTTTAACTTCCCCCTCAGGTCAGAAGCTAGACTTGGACACAGTTTGATATTCCAACACAAAAATGATCCCAAACCGACATAAAAACTGGTTTTAGACGGGATAAATTAGGCTAATAATGAGCTTTTAAAATGGTTTTACGCTGAACCCTACTGAAAATGAATGGACTGTAATTAAAAGTTTAAGAAAACCAGATTCTCTTTCCAATCCTGACCAGAGCAGCGGCGAAATATCCACCCAGAAGAATCCAATTAAATTAAAAAAATACTTTCTTTATCCCAAATGGAGTTTAAATGTCAAATAACCCAACTATTTTGTCTCCTTTCTAGTGCAAACATCTTAGTTCAGTTGAAATAATACAAACCTTATGACATAGGAGCCTGTTTTATGCTTAGATATTGGTTCCGTTGGGAGATTATTTCACGGGGAAAAGTCTTAAGTGAAATAATCTGCCAGGGGATCCAGAACTTTTTCATTAATATTAAGCAATTACTGACTCTAAACAAGCCTCTGTTTCTTACTGACAAGTTACTTGTAAGTTAGTTTTGTCTTATTTAGATATTTGCACCAGAAACTAGCCTGTTTTGTGATTTTTGCAGTGTGAAAACCTGGATTGGGGCGAGCATGTACCCCACACTGTACATGGATACCAGAATTAGGTGGGGGAGGGGGGGGAGGGCTCATGTCTTTTCCATTTAGAGCATAATATTTAATCATAACATCAGGCGGACCTCATTTCCTGCTTGACTGACAACCTCTGACTGAGCGAAACCCCACACATGTCAATCACATCATTGTGCAGTGAAGCAGCACAGAGTGGGCGCTGAGCGCTGACTGACAAGCACTTTCAAGCTAATTTACTTCAGGAAGGACATGACGTAGTCAAAACCTCTGAAAGGAATGTTCTCTGATCAGAGGTGGGATGCAGAGAAGTACAAATACATTGTTACTGCAGTTAAATACATTTCTAATGCATTTGTTCTAAACTTGAAGGTGAACTATTGCACTTCCTTGAGCAGGTTAGGATGAACTATGGGTGATATAAAACATCTTCATTACATTCTTTGCACTAAATCATTCTTAGATAAAGAGATTTTAGTCTGGTCATCTGTTTTAGGGCTCTGTCACTTTAAATCTAAATAAGCTGCTGCTGGCCACGCCCCCCAACTCAACATTTACACTCACAGGTGAAAATGGCTGCAAACAGATGCACAATTATACAACCATACCATCTTTGAAAAGCAGAAGTGGAGCCCCCTGCACAACCAACAATAATGCAGCAAGTGGTTTCTAAATGATAAGTCAGCAACTTGTCTTTTCCAGCAGCCATTGTACAGCACATATGTACATTTTGGACATCCCTGTTGAAGACATCAGGGATCACATTCAATAAATTTACTTTAAGAAATCATAATTTCACACATTAAATTACTTTCTTTCGTATACTTTGAAGGTACTGTGTGTGACGTAATGTAAATTCAATCTGTAGAGACTCACACAGAGAGAGAAACAGCAGTTAGACAATTTTATTGGACCGAGAATTCGGCGCTCGGACACCGGCGGAAGACGTGCGTGCTGAGAATCGCGGCAAGCTTTAATGATCGGCTCAAACGAAGCTCAGGTAGGTCTTCCCCCGGGCCCGGTCACTGGTGGTGGAGCGGAGCTGGAGAGAGGAGTCTTCAGGGGAGCTGGAGGCATCCGGGAGGCTGGTGGTGGAAACGTGGAGGAGGTGGGTTGAAGCACAACTGAAGGGGGAGGATCTGTGGTCGCTTCGCCTTTTGAAGGAGCTCTTGCCAGGTGATTGGACCGAGGTAGAGAGATGGTGCGTCCTGATTGGCTGGGGTAGAGGCAAGGTGGTAGGTGATGCCGGAAGAGTCTTACAGGTTCAATTTTCGCCTAGGGCTTCATTTGGTGTCAAAGCTTCCAACTGTTATAGATTTGTGCTTCCTGCACTGCAAAAACACACAATCTGACCAAGTATTTTGTGTTTAGCTTTTAGTGCAAAGATGTTATTACACTTCAAAGAAGAAAAAAATAATTTACAAGTTACTTTTCATCAGTATATAGAGCTTAATTTAAGTCAATTCCTTAACTTTGATAAAAAAAAGTGATAGTTCCAGTAAAATATTTCTTTCACTTTCATTACGTGAAGTATTTTTAAGAGTATGTACTTATTTACTTTTACTTAAGTAATAATGTTTATGTGGGACTTTTGCTTTAGCTAATTCAGTTTACCATATTTTCCAGACTATACAGCGCACCTCACTATAAGCCGCACCTACAAATTCTTTGGAAAAGAAATGAAAATTAGCGCTTTCTTCTTTTCTTTCCAATTTTGACTTCCAATGATTCACTTCTTGCTAAAGCGCCCCCTCGTGGTTGAAGAAAAAGTTGCACCGGACTACAAGCCACAAGGTTCAAAGTGTGTGGGAAAAGTAGCGGCTTATAGTCCGAAAAATACGGTAATTTATCTCCATACTGCCAATTTCCAACAGATGTCGTTTGCAAAATAAATCAACCATTCAGCAAATTGATCTCAGTTACCAAACAGTACAGTATGCTCAGTTAGTCATTCAAAGGAGTTAAAAAAAAGTTTCTCTGAAAGGAAAAGAGTAAACTTTTATTTGTACTTTTAAAGTTCCTGAGCATCCTGCGTTGTGAAAGCTGCAGCCTGTCTGTGTGTTTGCTCGCAGTGTCTGGAGCGAGCCATGAAGTTTTCATACGACGAGTTCCACCTTTGGCACCAGCTGGGCCTGTCACTCATGGCGGCCGGAAAGGTGAGCTCATTTCTCCTTATACATCAACACTCTGCACCAGAGGAGACGTTCGTCTCCTCACCCACCGTCCAACCATCATGTCCTGCACGTGCAGCGAATAGCTTAGTGGACATTTTATACTGCATGCACTGCAAAAACACTAAATCTTACCAAGTATTTCTTTGGTCCAGTTTAAAACATTTTAGTAAACTTGAAATGAGACAAACTAACTTATAAGTAACTTTTTAGCAAGATATAGGAGTTTGTTTTAAGTAAGTAAGTCTTAACATTGATGAAAAAGTCCTAGTTTTACTGGCAAATTATTTCTCTAATAACATTGGAAAATGTCTGTTTATATGTGAAATAATCTCAGTACATATTTACTAAGACAGTATTAGGTTTTAATAACTAATTAAAAATGCTTAAAACAAGTTGAGCTCCTATATGCTGCTGAAAAGTTATTTGTGAGTTAATTGCTTGTTACCCAGCAGGTTAATGCTCGGCTATTTTAACGGTTTAAATAACCAAAATGTGAGTTAGTAGATGTACCAAACACTGTAAAAACACAAAATCTTACCAAGTATTTTTGGTTAAGTTTCTATAGCATTTATCTTACTTCACTTGAAATAAGACAAAACTAACTTTTTAGTAAGAAATAGAGGCTTGTAAGTAAATAATTCCTTAATATTGATGAAAAAGTACAAGCTCTAGTAGCCGATTATTTAACTTATAACAAGACATTTTTCTATCTGGCAATAAAACTAGAACTTTTTAATCTATCTTAAGGATTTATTTACTTAAAACAAGCCTCTATTTCTTGCTGTAAATGTACTTTTAAGTCAGTTTTGTCTTATTTCAAGTGTAGCAAGATATTTGGACTCGAAACTAGACCAGAAATACTTGGTAAGATTTTGTGTTTTTGCAGTGTGAATGCAATATGAACCATTGTGGTGCTGTTAGTAGGATAACT